ATATATATATACTGTAAATAATTATTATATTATGATATAAATAATAAAATACTATCGTTTTTTTGATATTCATTTGAGGGTTCAAGATACAACTGCATGATTGTATGATTACCCTCAGGTCTTTTTGTAAACACAAGAGGTTTAACAGTTCTGCTTTTGCTAAAACTTAAAGATGGAAAAGGGCAGGAAGAAAAAAATACTAAGTAAACTGACTATGGCTGAAGTCCAGAGCTGAGAACTGAAGGCACTCATTCAGACATTTCTAAGTCTTGAGACACGCCATGCTTTTCCTCAGGTCAAAACTAGAGAAGAACAGCCTTGGGAAAAGTCATACTCTCATAACCTGTCTTCGATAATTCTGTGAGATTTTTACAGTAACAAAAAACTTTTCTAAATTGTTATTTAGACTTTTGACTATTATAAAATTATAATATTATGTTCAATCATGTCATTCACAACAGAGTTTGATGTGGTAAAGTGTTATGCTGTTGTATTTTATGGTTCAGGTTTTGTTTTTATAAATTTATTTGACCATTTCAAACCATAAACAATAGTAAAAGCAGACCAAATAAAAGGCAAACTCACCAAATGTGATACAAATCCAGCAGAGGAAAATATACTATGTATTGACTCTTTCAGTGTTTATTCAGGTCTGTTGCTTCTCTCCTCCCTTTTTAGCTCCAGTAAATTGGAGGATTTTTTTGGGGTCAACTTCAGCAAACGCCCATTTCCTTGTGGTTGAGTTAGTGCTGTTGTCCTGCACACAGTCCCATCAGATCCTTCTTGTGCGTTCAGGAAACGCATGAGCATGAGCACACATCTCTCTTTCCTTACTAACCGTTTATCATCTCAGAGGGTGTGCGCTGAGTTCCTATGGGCTTCTATCATAACTTCAATCTGCTTTGATGATGTTGATTATATGTGTGTGGGTTTCATTCATCATCGCCCAAGAGATGGAGTTATGGTCATTTAACAGGGAAGGGAAAGCCACCTAAATTGGGAAAACGGCAGGAACTTCCATGTTTATTTGTCATGCTGTGAACAGTAAATGTCGTGGACCAGGAAAAAAAAATCTATATGTTATATTATCCATATATCTGTTATTATACCTCTACATTTATTATTTCTACAAGTGTTACAAATGCATTCACAATCTTTACATATCTGAAAATACATCTGTCCATTGTATTGGTTAGCATGAATTTAAAGTAAACATATTGTTTTCATCTGGCATTTAAATAAGCACATCAAATAATTTAATTTATTTAAATAATTAAGATAATATTTAAATAATTATAATAGATAATAATAACACAGAAAGAGTTTGTTATTTTATGTTCACATAACAAGTTCATAAAAATTGCAGTAGGTAATGGTTTAGCTTTAAAAAAAATCAGTGACATACATTACTGTACATTACAACCTTAAATGCTTGCTGTTCACTAGTTTAAAAAGATTTGAAATATATACAATAATTATTATTATTAATTATAATTTAGCAATTATTAATTATTATTTGCAGTAAAAATATTTTTGTGATTTAATAGTACATGTGCCATAAAATATTATTATTATTATTGTTGTTGTTGTTGTTGTTGTTGTTGTTTCTAAGTAAAATATACATTATTTGTTTTATTTTGTGACTCCACTGCTTGTAGTTTCCACGCCAGTCCAGTAGGGAGCAGCATTAACTCTAACATCCCCGCTGGGTTCGTGGAAACCTCTCAACGTCACAGCGTCAGAGGAACAGCAATGGCTACAAGGAGCTCTAGGTTTCCACGGACCCAAGCAAGCAGAGGAAATTCATACAAAAACATTTTTAATAAAATCCGACAGGGCCAAATCACTGGTGTTGGGTTGACTAGAGGGTCCCAGGTGAGATGTTAAATTACACGAAGGTCTAAACTGCCTCCGAAGCCTTTCTGAGACACTGTTTACATACGAGGCCCTGAAGAGCCATCAATAAAATAGCTCTCAGACAAAAATACATAGCATTTCAACAGTATTACTTGCTTAAGGTACCTTACCTTAGTGCTAAAATAATGACTGATAATAAGAAGAGTAATAATAAAGTGTCTGACCTGTTTGTCTTATTTGAAGTGTGTTTGACCAGTGTTGTGATTGTGTTGTCAAATGCAGTTTCCTGTGGCTCTGCTGGAGGACAGAGATAAAAGAGCTCAATGGCAGGGGATACCAGTGTTACTGAGGAGACTTCACCAGAGCAGCCATCCGAACAGCGATCTCTCCAAGATTCACAGCATTGTCATGGTATTCAAGATTTCCTTGTCTGTTCACACAAAATGCATTGCCTGAAACCCATTTGTATAATTTGTGATCAGATGTTAATTGAGTTGTTTTGTGATTGTGCAGGAACTGTCATCATTGCTGTCAATGGAGGCCATGTCATTTGTCACAGAGGAGCGCAAAACACCACAGGAGTCGGTTTCACCCAATACATATACGTTTGACTTGTTCGGAGGAGTTGATGTGAGTTCATCCTTAATCTTGATCGGGATAAATTCAATTGTATTCAGGCGTTCATATAAGTTATTATTCTTATTCCTCTAGTTTTTAGTTTTGAATTGAACTTGATCAAAAACTCTGAGAGCCTGTAAAACTGTACAGTATTGTGCAAAAGTTTGGGATCAGTAAGATTTTATTTTTTGAATGAAATGAATAATTTTATTCAGTAAGGGAGCATTAAATTGATCAAAATTGACAGTAAACACATTGAAAATATTACAAAAAGATTTATGTTTCAATTAAATGCTGGTCTTTTAAACTTTCTGTTCTTCAAAGAATCCTGAAAAAAATATCAGTTTCCACAAAAAATATTAAACCGCTCAACTGTTTTAACATAGATAATAAGAAGAGTTTCTTGAGCACCAAATAGGCATATTGGAATGATTTTGAATGTTAACGTATATTAATGCAGTCATTTTCTGATAATTAACATCTGTAGATTTAGAAATGAACACTCTGAAAAATTCAGCCAAAGCAGAGTTTGTGCTACAAATAATTGTCACTTTGATATACTGAGTTTCCCATCATTCCATCATGAAATTTTCCATCATGCTCTATTTTTATCCATCAGTAAAATATTGTAACACGTGGTATTTTTTATGACATTGATACTCACAAGAACTTAAGTGGCAAGAGCTTCTCACCAAGCACTGTGTTGTATGTTCTTAGCTTTGTCTTCTTATTCCGCTCTCGCAGTGTGGAAAAGACAGCAAAAAACTGTACTCTTACAAAATATTACAACCAGCACTTTATCTCTTTTCATTCGTCTACAGTTATTTGTAGAGATTCTGATGCGGCCAACGCTCACAGTACAGGGAGACCTACCCATATGTAAGCCTATTTAAATATTAAATCCAAGTTTCTTTATTTCCATTAATTAAGGACAGAAATAATATTAGATTTTTTTTCAGTAATATATACTGTCCCAGTCATTAAAGGTTTGCTTCATTGTTTTCAGTGAGTGATGATCTCATCAAGGATTGTCTAAGCGTCCTGTACAACTGCTGTATATGTGTAAGTATAAAAAAATGTGCATGACTCTGAAAGGACAGAAATAATAATTATGAATTATTTAGTTTGTTTCCTTATGAGTAACAGCCTCTGCTTTTGGCTGGCAGACAGAGGGCGTTACAAAAAGCCTTGCAGCGAGGGAGGATTTCGTCATGTTCCTGTTCACTCTCATGTCGAATAAAAAGGTTTTCCTACAAACTGCCACCCTTATTGAGGACATTCTGAGTGTTCGAAAGGTAAAAGCCAAAGCATATACACTGTTGTTCTGATGTTTGGGTTCAGTATAATTATGTTTTGAAAGAAATTAATACTTTTTTTGAGCAAGAGTGCAATAAATAGATCAAAAGTGATAGTAAGAACATTTATAATGTTACAAAAGATTTGTATTTTAAATACTATGTATCATGTATTATATGGATCACGGTTTCCACAAAAATATTAACTAGCACAAATGTTTTCAACATTGATAATGATAAGAAATTGAACATCAAATCAGCATATTAAAAATGATTTCTGATGGATCATGTAACATGTAAAAGACTGGAGTAATGACTACTGAAAATGCAGCCTGGCCATCACAGTAATAAATTACATTTCAACATGTATTAAAAGTGTTTTGTGTGTGATTTGTTTAGAAATGTTATCTGTACCTTAGCAATGTAGTAAATCCCCTTTTTGTTGTTTTAACCTTAGGAAATTATCCAGCTTGAAGAAATTCCCAACTTGGCCAGTCTGGTCCAGAGCTTCAACCAGCAGCAGCTGGCCAACTTCTGTCGTATCCTCTCGGTCACCATATCAGAGCCAGACATGGGTGTAGATGACAAACACACCCTCCTGGCCCGCAGTACCCAGCAAAAGACCAACACATGCCCATCGTGTGCTGAGAGCAACCAGGGTTAGAAAACACAACTGCAGTTAATCCACACAAAATGTTGACACTGATGGTAATGGTCATGTAAAATAGAAATATACATTTTACACTGTCATCTTATCACACATTTGTTTTGATCTTTCCGCAGTGGCTCTGCTGAATATCCCAGGCTTTATTGAGCGTCTTTGTAAGCTCGCCACACGGAAAGTTACAGAGGCGGCGGGTGCCTCTGCCCGACTGGAGCTGGAGGACTGGCACAGTTGGCTTGACAATGCACTGGTACTAGACGCTCTCATGCAGTTAGCAATTGAGGAGGCAGAGCAGAACAGTACAGGTGAGATCCTCCTCTCTCTCTTGCTTTGGTATTTCCATTAGCTTCATTCTTCTCCATACTTTCTTTGCTGTTATTTGGTCTCACCCACTCTGATTGGCTGACTTTCAGAGTCATCTGATGAGAGCTCACTGTCCTCCAGTCCACTCAGACACAGGCTGCCCCAATCTATGAAGATCGTGCATGAGATCATGTACAAAGTGGAGGTTCTCTATGTGCTTTGTGTGCTGCTTATGGGCCGACAGAAAAATCAGGTAATGTGATAAGATTAAAGTGATTGTGAATATTAATAAATTATATATATATATATAACAGTAGTCAACATTTGAAGTGGATCAAAACCTTTCTTGTCCTAAAACCAAAACAATACCCATATTTGTCCTAGGATGACTTTGATGATCCACTTTTTTGATCCACTTCAAATGTTGACTGCTGTATACATACACACATATA